GTCCATTAAAAGCCTTGAGCCTGTAGCCTATAGCACATCCATTATGAATCTGCAAAGCTTATGCTGCAGACATGCATCATCACATGAGCATGTTTCTTATCAGTCTTAAACGTAAAACGCTAGTTATGCAACGAAATTCCCATATCATCTATCATCACATCTTTAGCAAATTGAATGGTTCCACCTGTCACACTGTTAGCTTTGGAAGTAAACCAATTCACAATACCACCAGTGGCATACATCGTGCCAAGCATTAGTGCCGCATGTGGTACAAAAATGTCCTGCAAACTTAATCGATCGTGTTGGTTAAAGCAATTAAGTACGGGAGAATTTATCAATCAAAGAAGGTCACTCGAAAGGCAAGTTTTCTCGCTGAACGAATATGACTTTTTATTGGGCGTTCCGCAATGACAGGCCGAAGGCATTCACTCCGTGATCGGCACAAAAGCATTTGCTTAGCAGTCGGTCGTGCGTGCTAAAAAAAAAAACACAAAAAAAAACAAAGGTGGATTAGAAACGCGATAGATTCGTCTTTGCACGGAGTACATACACTCGAAATCGTGTCAACATAAAGCGACTATGGCCCACCTTGCTAGCACCAATCTTAAAATTTATCCGTGTAGTCGCACCGTGCACCAACCGAAAGCGTTGCTGCGAGCCCCTCCACCGTCAACTTTAAGTCGCTGGTGAGTCTGAAGAACTGCTCTATGAGGTCCATATCCAGCCACTGAGCACATACACAAGCACAGGAAATAATACTCGGTTCCAAGTACAAGCGAAGAACCCGGGGCGGAAAGCCCTGAATGCCAAACGACCTGCGTCGGGCGACGGCGGCTGACTGCGTAGTACACAGGTTGCGCTCCTTCGATGCCTTCATCGCTGCGGCGGGTGGTCATAGCTAGTCGTAGCAGATCGTGTCACCTCTGTTGCTCGTACCGGAACACTAGAGACGGGTAATATTCTTGCTGCCGAACTTTATAAGCCTACGTTCGCGGCCAACGCATTAACACAAAGCCAACGCCCAAAGAACCTATCCCCCTCGTTCTCTTTTGGCGACCTGCCGCCAGGGCGGTGACACCGTCGCTGAAACTCCTCAATAGCATTCCTTTCGGGCCAACATCGCTGCTGGAAGGCTCGCTGTTGGGATCACTCATCTGACATCTCCGAAAAGTCAGCATTTGCACGCGCAAGCGCGCAAAAAAAAATAATAAAAGACGCTAAGCAAGCAAAGAGGTAAACGAAAGAACTGCGCTATGAAAGCCAAAAACCCGCATCACTTCCTATCACTGACAGCTGCTAAACACACACTGCTTCACTTCAAGAAGTCTCACTCAAGCACCTGGGTCAGCAAGAAATACTGATCATTTCGGCGAAACGATTAGTCGAGGTAGGCGAGCCAGGCAGTAGCGGAGACTTCAGCGGCCATAAAAGAATGGCGAAGCTTTTGTTTGTGATGGTATGAATCAAAACGGAAGTGCCCGTCTTGTAAACCTTTTGAAAAGAATAATAACTCTCATCACATGGGTTATTGCTGAAACGTAAAAATATGCCGCTTAAAAGGAAATTGCAGCATATAACAAAGGTTTAACAACCAAGATCTAAGCTGTCAATCAAAGTCTTAGCCAATGAGAAGTATAGTTGCCGATTGGGATTCAACGTCACGGAACCCGAACTTCGTGGCGCGCGATTTAAAACGGGCGAAATAGCCGCAAACTAAAATCAGTCTCACGCAATAAATATTGCTGTAAAACTTTTTTTTTTTGTCGTGAAAAAAAGCATGTCAAAAAACAAAAAAATTGTTTTTTGACATGCTTGTCCCAATTAGGCTGTTCAAAAAAAAATTTTTTTTTTCTTTGCAGTTACCCTTGTGGGAGCCGGGGGTGAAAGACGAGGCAGAGGGCACGTGACAGGCGGTCGGCGGAGAAGACACGAGCTGGTGCGGGACATTCCGTGCTGAGCGAGGCTGGTAGCTGGACAAGGAACGTCGAAGCCAAGCTGCCTGGCCTAGGCCTGGCCTGGCCCACAACGAACCCCGGAGCGGTCCACCAGCGAGGTCTGGAGCAAGACCGGTGGAAACGGCGAGCCCGGGTCATATGACCTGGGCTATGACGATCCCGGAGTGGTTCCGCAGCGAGACTCGGGCGTTGATAGCCCGGGTCAGCCAGCCTACGCAGCGCTGGCGTGGGAAAGGCGATCCGCAGGCCTGGACACGGACCCCGACTGTGAGCTCTGATCGACGGGCGACAACAAGGGTCGACGGGCCCGGACTACCGGCTCTCGACGACCGGCAACCGAGAGGTACAGTAAACCCATTCGCTGTCTTCTCGTTCCAGTGTGTAACTCCCTGGGTGACGGGCGGAGCGCATACCGATCGGGCGGCGATGATTTGTAGAGGGATCTCCGTAAAGAAACCCACATTAAAATGGCGCATCCAACGTGGGGCCCGTTCGGTATGCCTCTGCTTCTAGTCGTCCCCAGAGAGTCCCACGGATTCGTTGAGCGGGTTGTTCAGTAACGCTAACGATGCCCGTTGAGACAAAGCATGTTGGAATTTTGGCGACTTGTCTCACAGCAGAGCTCAGCAGGTGTCTCCTCGAATCGAGTACTTGAAGGTCTCGAAGGACGATGTTGCGGACGCGCTTTCTCGGGTACCCCAGAATAGTGGTTGGCAGAAGGTGCCGTAACCGGGGGGAACACGAGGAGCGCGGTTAAGATGTAAGAAAGTCGTCTTCGGAGGCAGAGGAGAGGCACGGCAGGTTCGCTGGAAGGCAGGATAGCGACTGGCAGGAGGGGAAACAGCCAGGATGTATTGAATATTTAGGATTTAGGCTTGGAGTGATGCGGTGAGCCAGTAAGCGCTTGTCGAGGCTCGGGGTGCAGATGGGTTTTGGTCAGTGGGTGTCGGAAAGATTGCGGGAATTGCAGTCGACACCGGGAACACTGGCGGACGAGATTGTCAGCGGGTGTTGGGTAAACTGGCGTAAATTGCAGTTGACACCGGGAACGCTGGCAGGCGAGTTAATTAAGGAGCAGTATGATTTGTAACCGCTGGGCCAAGACGGCTAGTTGCTTCGCGTCACTCCAACAATCCATGAAGGGCAGAGGCGATTTATAGGATAATTTCTCGACTTCACTCTGGCCGGTCGTGGCAGTGACAGCAAGACTTTTAATAAGTTATGTCGCGTCATGACCTGGCCGGGGATGAGGCGGTAGCCATTTAGGTGGCTTGTAGTTGTCCAGCTTGCCTTGAGGCGTAAACGGTTTAAGCGGGTTTGCTCGCTGAGCTGCCGCCCCTCCGAGGACCGAGCAGTCCCTAGAGCTCGTAGACACGTGGACGGAACGGGACGCTGACGATTACATCGTGTACCACATGGTATATGTAGCCGTTTTGGAGCGCGGCTATGGAATATGGCCGTCCCGCCCACAGGGTTTGGATCCCTTCGCTTGCGCAAAAGGTGGACTAGGTTTACTCCATCGTTACCTGTTCAGAAGGAAACTCACGCGTTGAGCAACGCAGCTAGTGGTTTCGCCGCATCGCTTGCTCCGAGATGAGAAGGGCACCCGAGGTATAAAGACGCGAGCGTCGTGTCTTACTTCTAGGCTTACTCGGCGAGATACAAACGAGGAGGCTTGCCCGGTTCACATCGCTGACTTGAACGGATACTACCGTTGTCGCGATGGAGAAGACGTATAACATGAGGTTGCGGTAGGACGCAAGAAATCCCCTGTTCTTTGCGACCCAGGAGCGAGCTCTGGAATGCAGACTTGCTGAGTTAGCCGCATGGTACACGAACCCGTCGGCAAGCAATTAGGCGGTGGAGGTTATGGCCACTGCCACAGTCTGCGGCAGAGTACTTGTTCGTTGTGCGTTGTTTTAACACTTTGTTCTGCGCAGAATAGCTTCTTGGAAAGACTGCCGTAGACGGCGTAACCCAGGAAGCCCACCGGGAGGGAAAACTGGCCATTCGTTTTCCCAAGTGCTCAGGGTGGCTGACAGTTGTTCGGCCTGACGAACGGTTCAGGCGGGCAGTTCTAAGCCCGCTGTGACCTCTAAGCGGAACGGGACAAGTCCGTCTGCGTCGGCCGGACCAGCTTAGAGCAAGCCCCCTGCTGCATCGCGGTGAGTGGGACAGCGAGTGACAGACAGGTCGGCATTGTCTGCCGGCTTCGCTAGCCACCACCACCTACGCCGCTTTCGGACGCTGCAACGTGGCCACTCCGGCAACAGCAACAGCGGCCGCCCATGAAGCCCAGCGGCTCCCTGAGGCTCATGAAGTCCCCCGAATTCCGGGCCTTGAGGGAGGGAGAGTGTGGGAGCCGGGGGTAAAAGACGAGGCAGAGGGCACGTGACAGGCGGTCGGCGGAGAAGACACGAGCTGGCGCGATACATTGCGTGCTGAGCGAGGCTGGTAGCTGGACAAGGAACGTCGAAGCCAAGCTGCCTGGCCTAGGCCTGGCCTGGCCCATAACGAACCCCGGAGCGGTCCACCAGCGAGGTCTGGAGCAAGACCGGCGGAAACGGCGAGCCCGGGTCATATGACCTGGGCTATGACGATCCCGGGGTGGTTCCGCAGCGAGACTCGGGCATTGATAGCCCGGAACAGCCAGCCTACGCAGCGCTGGCGTGGGAAAGGCGATCCGCAGGCCTGGACACGGACCCCGACTGTGAGCTCTGATCGACGGGCGACAACAAGGGTCGACGGGCCCGGACTACCGGCTCTCGACGACCAGCAACCGAGAGGTACAGTAAACCCATTCGCTGTCTTCTCGTTGCAGTGTGTAACTCCCTGGGTGACGGGCGGAGCGCATACCGATCGGGTGGCGACTATCAGTATAGAGGGACCTCCCCCTTAAAGAACCCCCACACCCTTTAAAAGCCCTAATCTTGGTTGGGACAAAGAAATGCCGTATCGATTCTTCTGTAATTGAGCTCTCGATACCTCGTGACAGAACTTGGTGAAAACCTGATAAGACTAACAAGCTGCATATAAAAGGCAGCTATTATCAGCTTCGTGTTAAGTCCCGCTGCCACCCGACTCTCGTTCGAGTTTGCTGCCTCTGCAGACAGGTAAGGTCACCTTGACAGCCAGCTTCCGAAGTGTTTATTAGTTACGAGGGCTATTGGTTTTCCGAACTGTGATGAACTGAGTAAAAAAATGAGACGGACGAGAAATGTTTTAAGGTAGTTCAACGTTTAGTTACATATACTCCAGCTCCTACTCCGCAATATCACCCCGTAGATACCAGCGCTTATGATGACGTGGCACAAGCTTTTTATGCCCTCCTAATAAGAAGGGCATCAAAACCGTTCGTCGCCGCAGACGTGTAATGTGTATGGATCAAACCGCATAAAGCTTCTGGAAGAAAAGAAACAAAAAACTTCCATGGTCATGGGGATCAGGCAAGAACGTCTGTAACGACTGGCGGTCTCGTTGACCACGTGACAGAATGACTGAGAGCCCGGACGGCAGCCTTTCTTGAGAAAGGCACCTGAAAGCGTGTGCCACGTCATCGCAGGCGTCTAAAAGAGATGTCCATAAACTTCAGATTATCGGCACCAAAAATTTAGGAAAAGGAACAAAAGAGGCATTAACACGAGCTCGCGCCCTTCTAGTTTCGCCACAGTATAAACATTGCGAGTTATAGTAGCGCGAACTCCGCTAGGGCTCCGAAAACCAAATGACACCGCACTTCGGGAAAGTCGAAGCACGCGATCCGTTTTCTCCATTTGAAAGGAAGCAATGTTAAGGAGATTCATTCCGAGCTCGTGGCAGCGCATGGGAACAATGCCCCAGTTTTCGACACTCTGGTTAAATGGCGCGGACGCTTCCAGTGTGGCCAAACAAGCCTGAAAGCATTGCAAGGGGGACGACGACCAAATGATTACTGAAGTGGAGTCATTCCTGAACATTCATAAAGAGGAGGTCTATAACAGTGGCCGACTGCAGGTTGTCTATTGCTAAAAAAAAGTGTGTGACATTGGGTGGCGAACATGTAGAGAAAGACCAAACTTCTACCCGAGTTTCAAAGTTGAATCTCTATACGTTTATGACAATAAACGTCCCTCGTACATCTGCGGTGTGATTACGTGGAAAAGTATCTATAGCAGGTATCTAAATCTTCTGCAAATTAAGACATTGTTCATCAGTCATAATTTCCTTACCAGTTTATCGGAATAGTAAAAAAAAAAAAAAAAAATCATGTCAAATAACCCCTGAGACTGTGGTGGAGTAAATTGGAAACTTTTTAGTAGAAGGAACAGACACAAAAAGGGACGTTTCAAACCCAGCTAACTGGTTTATTTATCGACCCATCCTATATATATCCACGAAAACAAATCTCGTACAATGCAAAGCATGCATCACAGAAAGTTGGCGATTCTAAGCTAGTAACTTGGTCCATACAGCCAAGGCTATTGAACGCAGTGGAAGGCGTGTAAGAAACGTAAGAAGTTCAATGATTTTTATTTCGAAGAATGGCATTTCTGTTCTATTGTTGCACATCAAAGTGCAATAGTCTGGAAAACCCAACATTATTACAATTTCTGTTTTTTAAGGTGTACGTTGAGGGAGTTTTTTTTTAAATATTTGAGGCTAATCTTCAAAGCTTCTTTGTCCAACATTTCAATCGCACTTTCTTACGACTTCCGATGCGCTAAAGTTGTTCTTACTCTATGCAAGAGGTTTAAAATAATGGAGTGCATGGTATCAAAATCGGCAGGTAATTATTTGAAAAATATTAACCTTCCTTACAAGAACAAACATAGTTTAAACAAAGCGCTTCAAGAGTCTCGCATTTAAGTAAGTGTATTTATAATTTTTCCGATTGCATTAATACCTATGAGACAAACTGAAGCAATATTTCTCGATATATGTTAGATGCTTTTGATAGAATTCCTTATAGTAGTCTAATTCAGAAACTTCAGATGAGTTACTTCAGAATTGTTTAATTGAATAAAAAAGCGATTGTCTGACATGTATAGCGCTGTTCCAACGCCGGTATTATGGGGTGTTCCACAAGGTTATGTTTCGGGTACCGACTTCTTTATAACATATATAGGAGGCACATACCCTTCGCCATCAAAGATTATATTACAGTCGAACTATTTCTTGATGCCTGCCAAGAGGATGACCCAAAGCACTAATTCAACGACACGTTGTCATTTATTAACTGTCATCATCTTCCACCGCAACTTACATACGACTCTCCTGCGCACCTTCTGCGACGGCCTTTTATAAGCGGCGGTGCGGTGCTCGCGAAGCACACTTCTCCGTTTCGCAGTGGAGATGGTCAAAAATGGTTTGACATGCGGGCAACCTGGTCGAACGCTTTTCGCCATTAGAATTCCCTTAACATACATGTGATCACGATATGATATAAGGTACATATATCGAACTGAATCGTGGTGCCGTGAATGGGGCACCACGACCGAAACCGTAATACCTAAGATAACAAATAAAAACACAAGAATGTGTTAGTTTATGTGCACAGCGTCAACAGACTTTGTCATTGTTGAAAAGTGAATGATTATAAATATCTACGCGTAACGACTGAAAATAATTTAAAAGATAAAAACCACGTCAACATCATTTGTTTTCCTAAAAAAACTAGGGTATTTAAAAATTGTAGGCAGACAACAATAATTGTGAAGCTTGTAGTTCATAACACAGACAGATGACTGGTAAGAAAAAATGAAAGTGTGATAAGAACCCCACAAAAAAAAAACAGATTTAGAAATTAGAAAAAAATATTGAGATACGTCTTGGACTCTAGGTAAACAGGCTGTTTCACGAAACGCGGATTAGATCGTTACCGTGAAAATTACATATCTCACTTAAAAATGTTGATGCCGTATTGTTATCTCCCAAATATTATGTTTAGCAAAATATATTATTTTGTATAATTAGTTTCGTCATTAATTTTAAGTAACTACCTTTTTAATTTGTAAATTTCAAGCCATGGTTTCATTAGAAATCTTGTGTACGTCAGCGAAAACCACCAAATTAGTGCTTTGTAGAGATAACTAAAACACGCGCAACCTTTCACGGCGTTAGAAAAACTAAATTGGGAGGCGTGTCTAGGTTTCGGTTTCCTATCGGGCCCATCTCCGCACCAGGGGTGCTGCCACTTGTGGACAAAGCGCGCAACCACAGCCTTGCCTCCCGTAGGAGATAATAAAGAGCATGCGCTCGCCGGCGTATTGAAACGACGTGCTGTTCGAGGCTATGGCGTTTCGAATGGCACTGCAAGAAATAATCAGTAAATCAATTAAGCTTTATTTTCTGAAACCTCTGGAGGGAAATCCAGACAAAAAGCTGTTACAAATACCTTGACTAGGACTGGATTCCCTATTACATAGGCAACAGCAACAAATGATACATTATATACGTTACATACATACATACATACATACGTTGCATGCGTTACATACATACTTTACATACGTTACATACATATGTTACATACATACGTTACATACGTTACATACATATGTTACATTTCATTTCATTTCATTTATTGTTGCTCAAAGACATCCTTTCGGACGTATTACATGAGCGAGGATTTGGGAAAAAATCATACAAAGCACAATACATATAAAGATTTGGGTTCAAAAACCATCAAACCCGAGGATTCGGGGGAAAAAAATCATACAAAAGCATAATACATATAAAACTTGGTGTTCAAAAACAATCAAAAATGAAAGAACAACATCAGAGGGACCCCTGATTGGCTCAAGTAATGTACACAATGCCAAAAACATTCAAACTGAAAACAGATTATCATCTTGGAAACCTAATTCAACAATAATTCGCTACATTTTTTTTTCTAAACAACAACTCGTCACGTTCAGTTGCCACAGAGTCTGGAATGCGTTACAATCTGAAATACACAAAACTAACGGAGATGAGAGGAATAGATTAGTGCGTAATGCAAAAGGTTCCACTTTCTGGGTGTTATCACATCGGGCCGAAATATGGGTTGCAGGCCTACAGAAAGTTTGTCTAAAAGTAGAGTCACTGTAATAAATTCGATGAAAAAAGCACAAGCGTGAAATTTTCCTTCTTATCTCCAAACATGACAGACCCAGATTTTGTTTTAAACTCGTGGCACTGGTTTGATAAGAATAACTTCCAGAAATAAAACGGGCGGCTTTACTTTGCAAGGCCTCAAGATTTTTAACAAGGTAATTTTGGTGCGGCTCCAGATTATATTTGCATATTCTAGTTTTGGTAAAGTTATAGTTTTATAGGCAAGCAGGCGTGTTTCTTGGGGTGCCTGGTACAGCGCACGCCTTAGAAAACCGAGTTTTCAAGATGCGCTTAATATGATGTGATTAATGTGCTCGTTCCAAGTTAAGCTGGATGTGAAATGGACACCTAGATATTTATACGACGTGGCAATTTCTAGTTCGAGAGAGAGGGGTCTGTACTGGGTTAATATCACATTAGCTTTATTGGTAACTCTCATTAGCCGGCATTTTCTGATGTTAATGTTAAGCTGCCATTTTAAGCACCAATTACTAATTTTGTCAAGGTCAATTTGCAGAGCACAACTGTCATTTGTACTAGTTATTTTTCGATATAAAACACAATCGTCTGCAAACAACCTGATTGTTGATGATAAGGTGGATGGAAGATCATTGATATTGTCACGGGTGGTGACCAATAAACAATAAACAATAAATAAACAGAAAGAAATAAACAATTAATGTGACGAACTTGTGCCAAAAATAAAAGGGTATAAAAGATAATAACGGAGCGTCGCGGGCGTCGAAGTCGACGTAGCAGCAGAGTCGAACGCTGGGCGAAAACTGGCTGCAGATCAGCCCGCGGAGTCCCTTATGTACGCGCGTTCGGTTCTGAAACAGTCGGCCTAGATTGTTCGGCAACTGGAACATTCAGAACTCGATCTGACGAGAATGTTCTCGAACTCACGAGAACGCAATGAAAGAACAAATAAAAGAGCATTCCACTGACTGGAATCGTACCCAGACTTCCTGCACGACAGTCAAGCACGGTAACCACTCGGCCACGCGCGCGGTCGCTCGCTGACGAGCCTGGCAATATA